TTTTTGTTCCTAACAATAGAATATGTCTTTGAGAAATTATGTTTCTTTTGTGCTCTTAGGTTCCTCTTTCTTTGGAGCTAGTTGCCAACCTTTACAAAACTTTGAGTTATCCTTCAAAGTTCAGTCTGTCCCTCTCCCAGAGATCACTGGGCTGAGTCAACATGCCAACCCACAATCCATCCTCACTCTTCCCTCTCTCTTTTCAGATCCAGCTGAGGTGCACATCAAAACCAAAACCCAAGATGGTCACCCACACGAGGGGCTTCTTTTCTCATGCCAGATGCTAGAATGGGTCTTGGGTGGAATTGAAAAAGACATCCAGGGTAAAACAACAGAAGAGATGGTTTCTTGATATTAGAGGGATGGAAGCTAAAGCCACTAGCTTTTGCTCCCTTTTTCATCACCTCTTTGACACACTGGTGAAAACCTTTTGTGGCTTTAGGTGCGGGCTATACATCACTTCTGCTTCTTGCAGCAGCCCAAATTTCAGGTTGATTTTCAAAGACAAATAGTCAAGCTCTGGGATTTTGATGAGCTGATGCCAGTGTTGCCTGAGGTGGGATTTAGGACACTAAAACACACTCTGTCACAGAGATGATGTGGAACTTCTGACAGGAACATGCAAGGTGAGAGGCTACAGGGAAGTATGGAAGGACTTTGACATTTCTTTTTCCAAAGGAGCAATGATCAATAAAATTGTTTCTTTGGAAGTTCTTTCTTTTGCATCATGAACAGAAGGATAGACAAACAAGACCATGGATTAGTGAGTGTTTTTCCTAAGTTAATACTAGAACTAAAAGTAAATCCTAGACCAAGGTAATTAGGTTAAGAAATTTTATTATGTACAGAATGCAGGATTCAGCTGCAGTGTTTAGGAGCATAGTCTTGTATGAATATAATCCTTCCACCTGGACTTGTGGACCTCAAATATTGTGGGTAAATTATGGCAAATAATCATTTGGAAACCAGCCAATAAGAATATAAGCTAAAACTTTTCCTCTATGTTTCAGGAAATTTTCCTGTGTTCTCCTACACTGAAAATAATTTGTTACTGTGGGGGATCAGTTGGAAATTGGATTTCAATTATTTCTTCAGTTAGCTAAGCAAAACCATAAAACATTATGTCATGAAAAGAAGGCATATGCACAAAGGGCTTATTTACAGCTTTGCTCTTTAGTTGAAAACAACTCTGTCTGTTGGAAAATAAAAGACTGGGCATGTGTGTTTTTAGGTAACATATACTTTCAGACCTTCTCACTCTTGTGGAATCTCAATAAAATACTGATAAGATATATGATACCAGAGTTGCAGATATTACTGTGGGGAATATGACATAGATAAACCACATAGCTAAGACTGTGTGACTAGAACTTAGCTTGTAAAATGAAAGAAAATATTCAGAAAAATATTTAGAAACTGAAAGTGGAAACCTTCCATTTTACAGCTTGCCAGCTTTTCCAGAATTACGTAAATCTACTATCACTCTTTCAATAATGTCATTGATAGAAAAAGACTGAAACTTTATTTCCTCATATGTTTCTGAATTTTCATCTGCAAAGATGGTTTTGATTTTATGGGAGTTTCTCTTTAAAAAAAGATCAAGTTACCTAGAGATGGTTTTGCTCAAAATGTTGCCCTTAGAATATGCAGAAAAAATAAAGGAAAGAAAACAAAGAGAGATAAGGCCATGGATTTTGATCTGTGGCTATTCTGGTACACTTCTTTAGTTGAGGACTAAATGTCTTGAACAAAGATACTGTCCCACCAAAGAAAACCACCCTAACCACCTTAGTTTTCAGAACTTAGTAGGGCTGTCTCATACTTCACACACCCAAATTAAAAATTTCTCACCAGATACACATTTGATTCTCCATTTTGGCTATTCTTCTAATTAAATAATCCCATGTATAATTACTTCTAAGTGCTCATTAACTAAGGAATGCACACAAATTCCTTTTAGAAGTTGGATATCCAGATTACCTTTTTAATTTCAGCAGAAGAATATGGATTTAGCAGAAACTATTTGACTTCTCTGTGCTTTATTTTTATCACTTATACTTCTAGAGATAATAATAGATTAATGTGTCTTTTGTATTTGGGCACAAAATTTGTCTTCCCAAAATATGAGAATAACTTCCATAGACCTTCAGTGGAGTTCATCCAGAGGCAACTGAGAGTAATTATAACCAAAATCATCTGAATATCTTCGTAGTAAGTGGAGAAATTTGGCCTGTGGCTGTTTTTTTTTCAAATGAAACATAGGGTTAATTTCTGCAGGCTGATACTTTCAGAACAAGATTGAGGAAATGAAAAGTCAGGGTTAGTCAGAAGACAAAAATTAAGTTAACAGTTCTAGATGGCCTATTGACCCCCCAGTGTGATCTACTACACAGTGTGTTTTTAAAGATGCTGTTATAAAGTTCCTTTATGGAATATCGTGTTTGCGACATAGCGCTCCTTTTATTGCAGAATAAGAGACTAAACAAGCTATGTTGAAATCAGACTTGCTTTGATTTCTGAAGTTCCTTCGAATATAAACTTTTCTCACAGAGGAGGCACCTACAAGTTCCTCATATGTCAGTTCTTAAAAACAGGGAGATCAAAGAGATCAGAGAGGATTTTACAGTCATATAAATCTGTACTGTAAGTACAGATGCTTCTTGCCAACTTTCAATGATTCCCATTTTTGTGTCACACTAATAATAATGTAAATAGCACATTTTTTTCTGCCAATTCCAAAATAATGGTAAAAATTCAATTAATTCACCAATATTCTTCTTCCTTTATCCTCTTTCTGCTTCTTCTGTTCCATGTGTGGTTCTTCCAGACCACATACCAAAATACCAAATCTAGCCATGTTACAATTTATGTAAGGAAGTAGCAATTGATGCAGAACATTCTTTGGTCATCACAGTGGGTGTTTATAGTACATCAGATACTTTGATGTCCATGTGACATGGTTATTCAAGACCAACTTGCTGCACGGGTAAGCCTGGAGCAGCAGCCACCTTGCCTTACTGAAAGTGTTCTCAATGCGAACACCTATAGAGTTAATGGAGAAAAATCCTACTTTGGGTTGCAATTAAAATAATTGCATCTTGCATCCCTCTTAAACTGCTGCATTAGGATGAGATATTCATAAAATCTCGTTACAATCTCACCTCTGAAGGGAGAATGACACATAGACTTGTTAATGCAGCTGTAGAAGTCGACTTTTAAATTGGCCAAAAATCCATAGTTCTTCCTCCTAACTGACCTCACACCAAATAACAAGCTATATCATCACAACACCCTGATGTACAGAAACCTCAGAACTCTTCAGTAGTTTGTAATTTGGACACAGCTATACCAACCAGGCAAGCAAGTTCCAAGCTCTGCCAGAGAGAAGTGCCCAAGTGACGGGGCACAGCTGTGACAGCTGACCTGAACTGGCCAAAGGGATGGCTTGTGCCATAGAATTTCATGCCTAGTATATAAACTGGTGGAGTAACACAGAAAGGGATCTGATTGAGGTTTGGAGATGGGTTGTGCATCAGTAAGCAGGTGGTGAGCTATTAATTGTGCATCACTTGTCATTCATGGGTTTTCTTTCTCCCCCTCTGTCTCTCTCTCTTCCTTTTTTCTTACTATTTTTGTTGCTGCAGTATTATATTTTACTTCATTTCAACTACTAAACTGTCCTTATCTCAAGCAGCAAGTGCTACATTTTTTTTCTGATTCATCTTCCCCATCCCACCAGCGTGAGGAGAAGTGAGTGAGTGATTGTGTAGTGCTTAGTTGTTAGTTGGGGTAAAACCACAACATCCTCCCAAGGAACCCAGCCTTGCTTTCACTGGCCATACACTTTCTTTTCTCTGCCTTAGCTCCAGAGAAAGATCCCTGGTCAGCCAAGCCAGTCTTCTGCCTCACCAGTTTGACTGCCAGCATTTTGGAATTACATGCTCCTGTGCTCTGAGAAGGTGGTGCTTAAATTTTGACCACAGTGGTAGATCCCAGCATCTTCAAAACCATTTTCTCAAGGAGCCTTACAAACTACTTCCCTGAGTGGTCTGAAGTCTACTCTTCCCACATTCAGACTTTTGCTGGCCATTTTCCTCCTGTCACTAGGTATTTTAAATTCAGATGCTTCATGGTCCAAATTGTCCCCCAATCACCAATTCACTCATGAGGCCTTCTTGTTAGCAAGCAACAAATCAAGGAGGAGAATTTTCCTAGTCACCTCCCTTAGGACCTGCATCAATTTATACTCATTGCTACTCATCTCATACCCATCCTGTGCATGCTTCTCAATGGAAGAGGAAAAATGCTTCTCCTCTAAACCTCAGAAAGGCTAAGTGACCTGGCATTCCTGCCCTTTTCAGTGAGGCTGAGAAAGAGGATCTGCTGCAAACAGGTATTTTGTGGGGAGGCAGAGGGAGTAACTGTGGGATGGAAGTTCCTGTTTCAAGTATTACCTTATGGAGAGAGTCACATTACAGTTCATTTTATATTTAGACATAGAGATTGTTTAGGCTTACAAACAAAAACACCAGAAATACACATTATTAAAATATAACTCTAAAACTCCCAGTTTTTAATGAGGCCCTCATCTTTTTCCTACTTCTGTATTCAATCAATAAAAATGTTGTGAAAAATTGAGAAAGAAAAACCTTTCTTATCTGTTATATTATTATATAAATCTTTTTATTGTGTTTCTTTGTTTTTTCTGTCTTGTGCCAAAAGAAAGGACCGGCCAGAACACTTAGGTGTGGAAATGCAAGTGGCATCTGAAATAAACAAATTTAAAGCAGTTAACAATGACAACACCAGCCAGAGATGTCACCACGACTAGTTGCCAGAAAAGAAAAATGTCTTTGATCAACAGGGGAGAAGCTGCCCAGACTAATGCAGACAGAAGCACTCAGCAAGGTGAAATATGCTACTTCTCCCAAAACAGACATCATCACATCAAGCAGAGAACCTGCCTCTGTCTTGCTCAGAGGTTTAGGCTGCCATTACAAAAGGTTTCATGAAATACTCTCATGTGTTCAATGAGTCTGTACTGTGAAACAGAGTGGGGAACAGACACAGATGTTTATTTTTCTTCACTTCTTCAGGATGTCCCTGAAGTCAGACCCATTCCTATCTCAAGTGTTTAGTCTCCCATCAGCTGCTGTGGGAGAGGGACCTGCCTGGGGAACAAGGAGATGAAGGAGGGCTTAAGGCTTCTCTGGAGAACCACAGCACAGCTAAAGAAACAGTGGGAAGAATGCTTTCCTTGTGTGACCTGATCTTACATGCTTTTCACTCCGAATTCTGTCTAAATTTTCTTCTGGGGACAGGTGGTATTCCTCAGGCTTCAGCCCTGGCTAGAGCAGCTAACACCAAAGATACACTCCGGGCTTGGGTGGAAAAGGTCCTCAAACTGATATAGTACAATATTAGAGAGGAGCCCTAAAGTCTTCAGGGAGGAGCCAGCTCAGTTAAAAGCCCAGGAGGGAGATGAAAGGCAAAGTGAGAAATCTATTTGGAAATTATCAGTAAATGGGTTTGAACTTCTAGTATGCTCTAGTATAGCTGCATGTTCCTCCTTTCTTATCAGCTTTTCCACTTTCTCTTTTTTTTCTTTTCAATTCCTGTCTTTGTCTTTCCACCTCCCTTGTGCCTATTCCTCTGCCTCTGCTGTCCTGCTCCCCCTCCTTGCTTTCACAAAGCAGCCTGCAAGCCCTCCAGAACCTGATATCACACACCTTCCCATTTTAGCAACTTCCTTTCCCATGAAGAGATCAGTTAAAAGCAAGGTGAATGTCAACTAAATATCAGTTCTGGCAACATTTTCTATTCAATTTGGAATTACTGGATTTTAAAGTAATGTGCGTCATGGAGTACGTGTACATCATGGAGTATAACATCAAAGAGGTATAATTTCTAGGCTTTGACAGTTTCCACAAATGAAGTTCAGGATCTTTTTTCAAGGATCATTTGATCATGTGCATCATAACAATATTTAAGGGAGAGTAGAGCTAAACAGTTTCTTGGAGAAGCTTGTTGTAAGCCAGAGAATTGCTCATAGCTATGGCATTTTTCAGGCACTGCCAGAAGTAGGGCTGAGACTGAGGATTAGTTGGCCATTCCAGGACTGAACTTTTGCACAGCCTCTTCCTCAGACGGACATAGCGGGACTTCTGCAAAACCTTCTCAAGAAATATCAAGATAATGACATCCATTTTTTCATCCAGAAGCCGCTGATGAGCCATATAAAATGTTGTCTTGAAGCGGCCACTTTTAATGTACCTGTTGGTCAGCACAAAAATGGTCTTTTTGCTCAGCTGAATGCTCTGGGAAAGGTTGTCAAAGACTGGCTGTCCTGGGAGCCAGTCCCTTCCTTCCAGGCATAAATTGAACTGCCTGGCTTTTTGGTTTTCCAGCCTTTCTACCAGCTCCTGCAGCACCCACTCATTCACAGCTGGGTCTTCACTGTCATAGGCAATAAAGGCGTCGTAGCAAGCAGCTGGAGAAGACAGGCGCCGATAGCCCTTCAGCCTGGCAGTGCAGTAATGGTAGCTGTACCATACATCCCAGAAGTACAGATGGCTCATCACTGGGATCACCATTAAAGCAAGGATGGCTGAAGCTGTCAGAGCATAAAGGATCAGATATGATGTGTCCAGCTCACAAGTGTACAGATCCAAGAAAACCACGCTCCTTCCCTTATGGGCCCCTGGGCCAGCACAGGTGACGTCAGTGGCCAGAAGAGGAATGGTCACCTGTGTCCGATTGATCCACCAGACAAACCACACAGCCTCACAGTTACACTTGAAAGGATTGCCGTGCAAAAGCAGCATCTTCAGGTTGTTAATGACATTTTCAGGAAAGCTAGATCTCCTAATTATTTCAATCTTGTTTGAGCTGAGGTCCAAATACCTCAATTTAAAAGCATCTCTGAGAAAATGTTTGGTTAGCATTTGAATGCGATTGTTTCGGAGCATCAGTTCTTGGAGAGATGAAGAGCAATTGGACAGTTCTCGGGGAACATTAGTCAGAAGGTTATTGCTCAGGTCCAGAGTTACCAGGTTCTTCAGAGAGGGGAGGTTTCCCCAGATAAAAGTCTTCAGTCGATTATTTGTTAAGTTAAGAATCTTGAGACTGGGAGGCATTTCTTCAAAAACACTATGAGGCAAAAAACTGAGTGAGTTGAAGGAAATATCCAATTCTTCCAGGCTGGTCAGATTCTTGAAGAAGGACAAGTATCTAGAATTGCCATCCACCCATAAAGCATCTAAACGATTGCCTCTGAATTCTAAAATTCGAAGAGATTGACTTTCCATTCCTGTATCAATAGTGGTAGAAATGTCATTCTCATTCATCATCAGCTTCCTCAAATGGGCTAGATTTTTAATAAAACTAAGCAACTGAGTAACACCTTCTGTCATAAAATAATGCTGGTTATTGCTCAGATCTAGAATTTCTAAAAGTTTGAGTTCTTTGAAAGCAGTTTGGTATAGCAAATCGACCCTGTTGTTAGAAAAATCCAGATATTTCAATTCAGACAAGGAAGAGAATTCACTTCCGTTTAAAGTTTGACTTATAGCATTATCTGACAAGTTGAGACATTTGAGGGAGCTAAGTCCCTGGAAGTCTGAGGGGTTAACAAAAAATACATTGTTTCTGCTTAAATCCAGAGTTTTTCCATAGTTAAGGCAATCTTCCTTAACTAAAGACTGGTAGGAAGAAGCCTCTATGTCTTTGGAACGGCAACTTCGCTCATACTCATCATACCTGAAATAATGCATCTCTTGTTGTACTTGCCTGTTGGATTGCTCAAGTGAAATGCCAGGATTAGAGCAAAATCCATAGAAGTTGCTTTCCCCTGAAGAAGGAGAAATTTTATTCACTGAGAGGTCAATGAACTTAAGAGCTGGGAATTCTTTAAACACTGTCATGTCTGCAACTTTAATAAAATTAGTCCCGAGATCCAACATTGTTAGATTCCTAAGACTGAGCAGTGGATGTAGATCTCGTGCCCTCAGTTCCTTAAAGACATAACCCTTGAGCCTCAGGGTTTCCAGGTTAGAGAGGGAGGAAAATGTCTTAGAAAGATTCAAGTAGGGAGAATACACCTTCAGCTCAAAGTTAAAGGACAGATCAAGCTGCACAAGGCTAGGGAGAAATGTCAAGAACTGAGCATCTCCAATCTCCTTCATGAGGAAATTTTGGGAGAGGTCAAGTTCTTTGAGATTCTTGATGCTTTTAAACCAGCTGCTGGGTATGCTCTGAAGAGAGTTACTGTGAAGCCGCAAAATCCTTAAATTTTCCAAGGAGTCAAAAGCCTTTGGATGGATCTGAATTGAGTTCCTGGGACAGGGAATGCAAGGATATGGGGCATTATAGCAACGTGGGCAATTGCCACTTAGGTCAAGAATTTCTAGGTTGGGAAGGCCACTTAAATCCTGTTCTTGAATCTCTTGAATCATGTTGTTGTAAATATACAATTCCTTTAGAGTAGATGACAAATTGGGTGGGACTTGTGTTAAGTTATTGGACTTCAGGGATAGAATTGTCAACTTTTTCAGTGCCAGGAAGGCTGTTTCCTCAATTTCAAATGAAACATTGCATGGATTGCGGTAGTAACAGTTCTGTCCAAGATACAATACCTCGATGTTTGCTAGCTCTGAGAAGCTGGCTTTTTGGATAGAAAAGATATGGTTTGCTTCCAGGCTCAGCAAGGTTAAAGTAGCAGGAAGACCTCGGGGTATTTCTGCCAGCTGGTTTGCATCCAAATATAATGACTTCAGTCTTGTCAGGGCAGCAAAACTGCCATTCTCAATTTTCAGTGGGCTGGTGCACACATTATTTTTGGGCCCCAGTTTGACAGGCACACAGTTGCATCTGAAGTCAATCTCCTGGAGGTTTTCAAGACGATCAAAGGATGTTGGGTAGATGTGGGGAATATGGTTAATACTCAGGGTAAGGTTGGTAGCGTTCCCAGGGATCCCTCTGGGGACTTCTGTAATGCGCCGGTCGGTGCAGTCCACTGTCACAGTATCTTCTGAAGATTTAACATCACAGGGTAAAGTTTTGGGAAACCAAACCCCTGACAGCAGCATTGGGAATATGAAGAGCAAGATAAACGGCCATGCATTTGACATCTTTGCACATGGTACCTAAAACCAAGGAAAAATGGAGATATTAGTTTAATGCAATGGGAATATTTCATCTATACTCTGGGTCAGACTAACTATACATCTAAATTCTGGTTCTTGTCTCACACTGACCAGGAATAAATGTGCAAGTAGGATTAGAAGTTTCAGGTGACATACACTGATGTTTCCTTTCTTTTCTTTTTCCCAGTGGACACAGCATTTTATGCATGTGACGAACGTTATGAGACTAATGAAAGAGTGTCTAGCCTAGCCAAATGGCCCCTGATATTCAAGCAATTGCCTGTCTTCATCTTTTATGGTGGAGCAATGTACCCCAGGGCCAAGAACATTGGCCAAGGTAAGTGCCCATGGAGCATAGCAGAGAGCTGATAGGGAAACCATAGAGGCTCCTTGCGCTGCCAGACATTTTGCTCCATCACGTGGGTACCCTTTACTGTGCATCTGACAATGCACACCACAGTAGACCATGAAATGCTGGCTGTCACCAGCCATGGACACAGAACCTGCAGTCAGAGAGGGCAGTACTAGCAGCCACTGCACATCAAAGTCCACCTTTAAAACAAGGAAGATGTAGGAATGAGGCCTACAGCCATGAGATATGCTGTTACATATGTGGTAAGGGGATTTCCATGAGATCTGTGGCTAAGGGCTTACTCTGGGCATGATGGTGGGCTGAAGTGAGATACATTATCAGGCAGAAACAAGTAACCCTTTTACCCTCAGTCAGCCAGGTAGAAGAGGAAGTGATGCTAAAGTTTCACAATTCTGTACTTTCCTTGTGCAAGACCTAAAGTCTTTGTAATCGCTTTGTTGCTCTTGGTATCCCTCATTTACATAGAAGGGGCTTCTCTCTGTCCCAATTAAAGACAGCAGTAACAGAATATTTGACCACAGTCTCGCTTCCACTTCTCCCAAAAGTATAAACTGGCATTTGAAATCTTCATTGGCAGACGATGAGAATACAGCCATTTTACATACCAGTCAATGGAGTTATTTCTCTCTCTTCACAAAACTAGGGAGGCTTCTTTGGTAAGATTTGCACTGGGAGCACTTACATAGCACTGTACATTTTTATGTTGCAAGTCTAGTGTATTTATTAATTATCCAATAAATTGCATTGTTGGTGAATCTGTGTTCATGGAAGTTCTTATTGAACTAAACCAGACTTGTAGTGAATAATCAGTAGTACTCACAACTGGTGACTCTGTTCAGGAATGAGATAAGGCTTGTAGTGTAAATCAGACTATTGTTGCATCTGGGAACCTGACCAGACTTAGTAGTATTTAATTGGCTCAAATCAGAAATTAAGCCCAAACTTAGCCCCTCTGATTTCTGTGGACCAGCTGGAAAGCAAGGGAAGTTATTTTATGCCAAATTGCTGCATACTTAATGCAACAGGAGGAAAAGCTAATTAGATTCAACCTTCAAAGATGTGATAATCCAAAATAAACACTGTCCAAGCATTGGAGCATGACATGGGCAAGGTATGATTGCACTCTAGATTGAAGACACAAAACATGAACAAGACTTTCTACATGAACCTTTATGCAGCCATTGCACTCAGACCCTTAATTTTTGGTGCTTACCCGAGTTGCTTACTTTATTGTCATTAACCTAGGCTCCACTGACATTCAAGAGAGGAAGGGGAGAAGGAAGAGAGAGACTGAGAGATCCCTCTCCAGCTGCTGCTTGGCTCTGAAGACTGAGAGAGCTCTGGCTTACTACACACCAGAGAGTAATGCTGTACATTTAGGTGCCTGTAAATAGGTGCAAAGAATCTGGGGTTTGAAAGTTCTCATGAATATACTTGTAAGTTTCTCATGTAGTTCAGTTTTTTAGGGACCTAAGTGTGGTTGCAGAGCCAGCCTAGCTTTTTGTGCTTCACTTCTTTGTATGTTCTTCCCTTTCCTGATAATCTTTTTAATGCATTAACTATTTGAACTGTATAGAGTTACAGTCTGCTGCTGAATCTGGATATTCACATGTGTAAAACCTTGCATCCATTATAGTACCAGAACAAACAAAAAAGATTTCTAAACAAGAGCAAAAAGCAATGCTGTCTTGTGCAATGTGTTTGCAATGAGAGGCTTGCTTAATAGTACAGCTAGAGTTTGGGAGCTGTTCTTTTCTCTGTGATCTATGCTTGGCTTTATAAGAAGTTTGAAAAGGACTAATCTACTGATCTTAATTTGCATGTGCATAAAATCTTAATGATTTAGGGTGTTCTTCAAATATTCAGCAACAGTACAGCTATGTGTTTCTGAAGGAAGGTTTTCTGCTGGGGTTCCATGTATTTGTTCATGGGGGAAAAGCTAGAGGAACACCTCAGAAGTTACAGCAAGTAGAAAATATATTATGCTCATTCTGAAGTACAGGAGTACAGATAAATCCTTTCCTTTCATAATTCTCTGCAGCTTCTAACCATAACAGTAAACTGAACCATTTGGAAAACAGAGAAGCAGAATATTTTCTTGAAAATCTTCCACAACAATTCCAGTCAAAATTGTCTATGAGTAAATTTAAAATAAAAGTTTAACATACCATATTCTTTGCGCTTCTAGGTCTGACAGATTAGATTCTGGACGAAACCATAAACTGGAGCAGAAGAGAGCAGCATCAAAGTGGTTTCCAGTGGTTCATCAGTGGTGTAGGGGAGAATGTGACTTGACATAACTCACTCAAGACAACAGTAATCTACACTGCATCTTCTTTCTCTTAGTCTGAATACCAAAGGAACACAACTTCAAAATCCTTAATGAGAGAGTATGAGATTAATCAGCTAGGAGAGACAAAGGCATCAGGAAAGGGTAATACTCATGTGATCAACAAAGTTTGCAGAAGCTCAAGTTCCTTTTTTTTTTCCTTTTTTAAATGTAAGCTTCATGAAGGGAGACAAAAATTGTTAATTGACATGGAAGTTTAGTAATTTTTATAATTGTTATTTGGGATTTATTTCTGCAGTTACTAGCTTCAAGGATTCAGATCTTTCTAAGGATCACTTGTGCACTAATACAAGCAGACAAATCTCTTAAGCAGAATACTTTATGTAGAGGTCTGGAAGAAATGTCTGTTAAGTGAAAGGAACTTGGGGAAGGGAACCAAAACCAAGACAAAAAGGATAAGGACATAGGTAACTGAACACAAAGAAGTGAAAACTCTGTGGAAGTGTGTGCACATGTTGGATTGTGAATGATTTTTTCAGGTAACCAGCCACATCCATGATACTGTCACTGGGATAGGAGGTGCTTAGTGTCCCCTTTGCTTGCATGAAGGTTTTCTAAAACACAACATCCAGTCACCCAACCTTATAATTTTTGACAGGTGCTCCCTCACAATCTATGACTACAAACTGTGGAAATTTTAATAGCTGTACCAACACTTAGCAGTTTCTTTTGCTCTCAGGTTGATCTTTTTTTTGTTTGTTTTAATATTAGGAATTTGTTGTCAATCAACTAAGAGCTCAAGGAGTTTCAATTCTATGTAAAATGAAACTGCAACTTTAGCTGAGTGCTAGTAAAATGCCCTCCTTTTCTTTATTTAGTTTTTACCTATGAAATGTGGGAAACAAAATACAGCAATAATTCACTTCAGAGATTGAGGCAGGGTAAATGGAGGGGAGTTTTCAGAAATATAACTTGAGTTTTAGAGGCACAGGGAGTTACCGGTTTACTGATTTTAAAAGTTCAGTTTCCCTCAGAAGTTGCACAAAATCTCTTGCCTCCTCTGAAACACGAAGAAACTGAAAGCAGAAAAGTGCTTCCTACTACATCTCATGTTAGGGGAGGATCTACTGGTAAGAATAAATGTATATTACGGCTGTTGTGAGTGAGGAAAATAATTTAAAATAAAGCAGGAGTCCTTAATTGTCTTAATCGAACATCTATAAATTTGGTTGACAGTTGGCTTGTAATCAGTTTGGTGAACTCATATATCCTTTTTTTTTCCCTTTGTCTACAGGAGGTTGCTTTATGTCAATTGTCAAAATCAAGATTCCACTGTGTTTATTTTAAATCTTAATAAGTTTACTCAGAGTCTTAAGGTCTTGCTGCAATGTCTTTTCTCCAAAGTGCTGACCCTGATTTCAAGAATAAGGCTACAACTCCATCTATTCATGATTAATACAGTGCAGAATTACATGGCATAATTTGCCCACAAAATTGTTCAAGAAAGCCAGTTATCTTGCTCAGTTTTTGAAGTACATAAGTTGAATTTTCAAACTGAAGTTGCTGATAGGCGTTGCAGAAATGTGTTTGCAAGCACTAAAAATAACCAAAAAATAAATAGAAGACAGCACGTGAGGAGATTGGCCTACAACAAGGGCAGAGGAAGCACTCAGGGCAGGCTGGTGAGGGAGGACACGCTGCCAGATCTGCATTAAGAGCCTACCCAAGCTGCCCAGGTTGCTGAGATATGGCTGGGGGAGCCACTAATACCACAGAAACAGACACTGCCTTTTCTGAAAGCTCAGGCTGCCCTAGGCTACCTCAGTACCAGGAGTGACTGGTTTACAATAGGTTAAAATTGTTTGCTCAAAGAAAGGTGCCCAGCACTCTTGTTTTTGAAACTGAGTTACCTTCAAGGGAGACAGAAGGCATCCTGGAATAGCTGAAATAAGATGGAGCTATTTTCCAAGGTCTCCAGGGTCAGCACTGCAACTGTGTCCCTTCTGCTTGCCCCTTCCTCATGGGCAGATAAGAGTAACCACAGACATTATTCCTTCTTTTCTCTGAGGGATGATGAGGAGAAGTGCCAAGGCAGTAATGCTAGAAGTGATGGTGCATGGCAATGGAGAAAGTGGTGGCAAATCATAAAACTGGCAGGTTCAGAGGAAGTTTGGCACCTGTAAGTGGGATATCCTCAAATCCTGCTTCTTACTGATGACATTGCTAGCCTTTTTTCATATTTCATGTAGGTAATCCTGCCATGGTTTATGAAGTCATCTTCAGGCAAGAGCACTGAGGGAGCACTGGAGCAGCCCCTGCAGGACAACGTGGAACTCAGACGCTGCTGGACCCAAACAAATCACATAGCAGGAGAGCAGCTCCATATGAAAGAAAGGCTTAAGATTATGGCAGGCAAGCTACTGTAACACAGCTCATATTCGACATGCATGCATGCCAATTTATGGAGTTTTAAAGACCGTAGGACATAATTTTTTCATTTATTTTAGACCTTAATACTGCCTTTTTAACAACCATTTCTATCTGTGAGGGATACTATTCAATAGAGATTATTTTGATTCTAATGTCATGAACTGCACTTGAAATGGATTGATTTCTTGTTTCCCTCTATGTGTGTATATTTATAAATGAAAAACAACTATATGCAATAGGAATGTATTTTGTATTGTGTATATATTGCGTGTTATCCATATAGTTGCAGATACACCATAGCACAAACGTTTTTACTTGTTTAACCAAGTCCAGAGCCATGCCATTTACCGTGGTGCAGGATTCCCCTCCCAGCCTTGTGACCTTCCTCCCTGGTTGCTCTGGAGCCTGTCCTGGAGGCAGATTTTCCCTTTGCTTTCACACCACTGTTCTCTGAACCCTACCCCTGCAAGCCTTGTTGGGACCAGGGGTCTCCTCAGAGCTGAGTGGCAGTGGCATATGCCTCACTCTTGCCTTCCCTGAAAAGTCACTTTAGAAGTGAAGTGTTGATGT